CATGCCCGTGTAGCAATTCCCCAAGGAAATTGCCACGCACTACATCTAAAAATACACACAAATGAACCTGATCTCGCCCTCAATAGTCTAGAAATAAGAATCAAAGCAATAGTACGCATAGGCCGCCAATTCTCCATCTGAATAAACGCTGGTTGGGGGTTGTGGGAGCTTCACCGTCGTAGACTACGCCCATCCTACCATGTTGATGCGTTTTCGACGCTCTCACAAGAAGTCAATCATTCGTGCTGCGGAACCTCGGTGGCTGTATCAACCGCCTTCTCCTCGTCCCGAGGGCCAGTCCTGTCGCCCTTGTTGTCGCCATCCTTGTTGGGGGGGCGTCGCGTGTTCTTGTTCTCCAGAAGCACTGCGCCAATAATGATCAAGCACGTCAAGATCAGACCAATCCGAAACACATGCCGAATGGCGTCGTTGTACACCTGAAGAACCGTGGGCTTCAAATCAAGCGGCAGTGCGTCGATCAATGCAGTCGCCCCACCAGAGGTGACGAGTTTGCGGTCAAAACCAGGGAAGCCAGCTAGTCTCCTGATCAGTTGATTGGTCAAGACGTTCTCTCCGGCAGGGACCGATACCGATCCGCCGATGAGCTGGGCAAAGAAGCACATTGCAAGGGCAACCGGCACCTCCTTGTCGGACAGCACCACTTGCGCGGCAAGGTTTGGCGTTTGGACAGTGGCGCCCATGCCAAGCCCGAACAGGACCTGATAGCCGATCCACTTGCCGCTGTTCGAGTCCACGTCGAGGGTGGTGAGCATGCCGGCGCCGACCATCATGACAACGGCGCCAAGGAGGCCGGCGTGGACGTAGTATCCAGTCTCTTCCACAGTGGCTCCATAGATAATCGACGAGACGAGCAGTCCCAGCATCAAGGGTAGCAGCTTGAGACCGGACGTCACAGCCGAGTCACCCTTGACCGTCTGGAACCAGATGGGAAGGAAGTAAACTTCAAGAGAGTTAGCCAGGGCGTCACGGCATCTAGGCACGCAAGGGCAGGTCAAGGCGTCTTACTGAAAATGTACATGCCGGCGCCGAGAAAAGCCATTTCCCATACGCCTGCCCAGATACTGCGGATTTTGAAAATACGCGGTGGAATCATGGCAGTCTTTGGAAGCAGGATTTGAACAGCGATGAAGCCAACAGTCAATACCGACATCACAGTCAACAATGATACGATGCATGCGCTATTCCACTAAAAATGGTCAATACCCATCGCCCAACGCAAATGACTAGAAAAAAAAAAAACGTACGGCGTATATCGAACCCCCCCACTGGAGCGCCAATACCAAGCATATGACACTGGACACAAGGCACAAGGTACCCAGGGGATCTAGGCCCAAAATCTTGTCCTTCCGCGGGAGTTTTGTTGACTCTTGTTCGGGAATTTTCAGGAAAGCCGCCACAATGATGATGACGACTCCACCGATGGGAAGATTGATGTAAAAGCACCATCTCCACGTGACATGAGTGGTAAATGCACCTCCGATCAAAGGGCCCAGGATGATGGCAAGGCCGAAGAAGGCACCCAGAGCACCTTGCACCGCCGGACGCCTCTTCAGAGGGACCGAGTAGACAACGGTCGTGACCTGTGTTGATGGCATTAGCTACCAGAAGCTCTGCGAGTTGATTTCACGGGCCAAGATGATGCCACTCACAGATCCGGCCAGAATACCAGCCGCGCCAACTCCAGCAAATGCTCTTCCCACAATGAGTGTGGCCGAATTAGGCGCAGCACCACAGATGGCAGAGCCAATCTCGAAGAGTAGAATGCTTGTCAAGAGAACCGACTTGGCAGAGTAGAAGGTGTAGAGTTTACCGAAAAGGAGTTGGAAAGCACCGCAGGTCATCAAATATGCGCTCCCGTACCAGCCTACATCAGGGAGTGAATTAAACTCGTTGGTGATGGCGGGAATTGCCTAGAGTGACGTTAGTATTTATGGCGTTGCGTGGGATCCTCCAGGCTCGGTTTGCGTACCGTTGTCACAATGGTTCTGTCCAGAGCTACCAGCATCATGCTGAATAGTGACGATAGCATCAGGAGAATGATTTTCGGGGTCGCAAGACCCTGAAAGGTATCGTCAACTTCTCCCTTGGCATCAGATTTGGCATCCGGCTCCTGACTATTGCGTGCTGTCTCGTCACCCTGGGTTGTTTCCGATCTTGGTGTCACATGCTGCTCCCGAGGGGCCCAAGATTGAGATTTCCCAACCTTTGTGGCCATGTCTTCTGCCATCATGGCGGGAAGGAAAAGGTTCGGTGAAGTTTATTGTTTGCAATCTGCCTGGAGGAGGATTGGAGCACGAGATGTCCTTGCTGCAGTGTATCGGCAAGTTGTTGCGGCGGTCGAGGATCGATTGAATGTGCTCGATTGCCCAAAAAGAAATTGATAATTGAAGAATCGATTATTTTAATAGAATTGAGCTCAAGGATCCGCATGGGTCAAAGTTCACGAATGCCCACGTCTGGAACCAGGAATCCGGCTGCTTCGAGTTTGCGCCTGTCGGTGAGTATCAAGACCCGATGTCCATCCTTGGGTTGTTGGGCGGGACTTATCAAAGTCCGTGTGTGGGGCCGTCCGTATATTCGTCAAGTACGGCAACAGAATGGCAACGGGGGTCTGGTGGGTTAAATTTCTTGCCGCCAGTGCTTACTGCATCCTCAGGAACTAGTTAAAGTTCTACTTGGAACTGCATATTCTAAGCTCATGACATTTGAGATGAAGGATACGGCCTTGGAAGTATGAACGGAAACACAAACAAAACTGGGTCCGTCGATGGAGCGTCGGCGGACAAACGCCAAGCAACGGCACGGCACAATCTCCAGTCGGGCCAAGATAGCCGCCGATGACTTGTACATTTCCAATTTAGAGTCGTTTCTTGTGTCTCAAGTTCCTTCTCCGTCAAATCTGGTTGTATTTTCCGCATCCTTGTTCATGTTCTTGCCTTTTCAAAGATTAAGCAGAGGGACTTCGGGGTTTGGTATGGCCGCCAAGGACGTGTTGCCAATGTTGACATATTGTCCAATTGCAACCAGCAGAACTTGTATTATTGTATATAAGATCCAGCTTGGTACTTCACTCCTAGGACGACGAAATCATTATTCTGCACACACATATTCTTCACAATGACGAGCCTGCCACTTCCATCATGATGAACGTCTTCCACCAAAGCAAAGATGTCGGTAATTTCCATTGGGCGATCACTTCCTAACTGCAGCAGAGACAGATCAAGGACACGAGCAGTGCCTGGTCCATAGTGTTCAAGAGACGTGGTTTTAGGAAGAACCCTCACCTGTAAGATCAAGGTAGCCGCTGGGTTTGCGCTCAAAACCTTTACATGTGCCTCCAGCTCCGCCAGAATCTGCTTACGAAGCTGCGAAAAGGGCGTCACCAGAACTGACGATGTCAAGCGTACCATGTATACCGCGGCATCCTTTACGACTTGTTGCTGTCCACTGGTTCGCTGCTGCACCGAGATGCGGTCCATCAGCTGGTTGTTCATCGCATAGCCACTGGATGCAGATGTGGTGTCGTCCATTTGCACGATAAAGTTCAATGACGGGTAGAGCTTTGCCAGTGCTGAAACGGGTGATATGGACTCGGCAACTACCTATTTTTCCCCTTTGTAAGTATACGCATCAGCCACCACAAGAAAATGGAGTGTCTCACGTCCGCAACTCGCGCGTTGCCTAATTTGGGCCAATCAAGCCGACCCAGTAGCTCGGTAGCAGTTCCGTCGTCGGTGGGATCCATATGACGAGTATAGGCGGCAAACTGCCTCTTCAATTTTGGACAAGTGCCACAGCTCGACTGGAAAGATTGTGCTGTGTTGAAAGCAATCGAGTAAGCACATGCACTGGGGCTATCAGAATGGCCGTAGCTCTTTGTGGCTACAGTCATGTTCAACGCAGCAGGGGCGGCCGTCCCCGCTAGGAACAGAGCGGCATCCAGATGAGACGGCTGAGTGACGAAACTGGCTGAGAGGGGAGTGTGTGCGATGTAGCCTGGCTGTGGCTCGTAAAGAAATCCAGCCGTGGTCATCATGCACAGTATGCGGCTCAACTGTGCTTCTGGCACGCCAATAACGTCGGAAATTACTTGAATTTGGACACTGTTATTCAACGGAATGCAGGCAAGCGCTTGAAAATCCCCCAACCACTGAAGGCATGCAAGTATTTGGACCTAGGGGAGAAGAGACAAGTCAAAAACATGCAACATGGGAGACAAGGGAGTAAAAAAGGTGCCGTACCTGACTTGCTAAACTGCGAAGGAAATTGGTGGGCTGGAATAACAGAACCTGCAGCTCCGCCAGAAGCGTGAGCAAGTTCTGCCTCGCTGGGGCGACCTCACTCGATGATACCGAATATCCAAGCTGGCATTGCTCGCTGAATGCCTTGGTGGCATCTATGAAGTTTCTCATGAGTTCATCAACCTTGACCAAGGTGTTGATATGCATAGTGCAACAAAGGGTGAACGGATATGGCGCTGAGGTTTTTCCAAGAACGAGTCAAGTACAAGGTCCACTGCTCGGATGCAACACAGAGAAGCACGGCTTGGATAACACATTGTTACGCCTCAGAAGCGAGCCGAAGCGTAAAGAATTGGCTCTTCTGCGAGTACTTAAAGCATCTTGACAAATTTTGAAATGGCTACACCATGGATTACGTGTTTTTCTCGTCCCTGAGTTCTCCCCTGACCAGTCATATTCCCCCAACTCGCTTGGATTGCCTGCTCTCCTCCAGCAGACAGGCAACCAACCGCATTACGCAAATCCAAGGAGATGGATGAACACGGGGTAAAATCTTTCGCTCAGCCTCCGTCTGCCGCAATATCTAGTTGGAGGAGGCGGGGTTACCAAAAGTGCCAGCCTTACACGAGACTCCAGACAACCCATACGCAATGTCCCGCCCCGTCGCAACCACATGCAACACAGTACATTAGTAAGTTAGCCTACGCGCTGCGCTTCACTAGACATGGCCTACTGGCACTGGTCATTGGACCAACCACGAACGATTATGGGAAAGAAACATACGGTTCATCCTGCAAAGGTATTGCATGTTGGTAATACCGCTAGCCTTCCTGCTGCATGCAAGCAGTCGGACAGCGAAGCGATGTCTGGTGGGTTACAATTATTTCCCAACAGGTGTATATATACATATACCTCGCCACTGAGGTCGTTGGTCAGCGCTGCAGACTCGGACAGCGAACCTGCGTGCTCATCGCCTTCGCCCGTAGCCTTTCGCCCAACAGGTGTAGAACAGTCTGGTACCAACGTAAAAGAGACTGAGCAAACTCGGAACATTACTCTGCCTTACGTCCATGCCCCTGTTGAACACTCTTACCCCTCTCTTCGAAGCGAGGAGACGGAGGCGCGGACGGATATACGGAATACCAGTCGGGAACCAAATTGCTAAAACAGGAATCCTCTGCAGTGTCAGGACATGTATAAGTGGGTACTGCCGTATGGTTGGTGGGTTATGTGCGAACTGTAGTGGTAGAGATATGATCTGGGCCTATACCCCATATTCAGCAAGCCTGACGTGCAGCATGGTAGTAACTTTAGCCGGGCGCAACCCTTGGTGTAGTATTCCCCCCCGTTCCTTGTGTTTCTTTCTTTTCCGTTTTTCTTTTTGTTTAAAATAAAGAAACTCCGTCAGATGTAATTCATTATTAAGATCCCACATGAAAAAGGTTGTGTCCAATTTGTTAACGTTGTCTTAGCGGTACCAGACAACCACGTTGACTAGCCACTCGCCGGAATCTATCCCTTATTGCGTACTTGAGAAAACCCTGTATCCCAGTATGCAGAGCCAAGCATCTTCGGAAGAGCCGCTGCAAAACAAGACGACGTTGAAACTTCGTGATAGCTGCAACGCCTGCGCAGTATCCAAGTTGAAATGTAATAAAGAAAAGCCAACCTGTTCGCGTTGTGCCAAGAAAAAAATCGCGTGCAATTATGTTGCCACAAAGAGAAAGGGGAGGAAACGCGCTCAATCAAGCCAGTCGACGGCTTTGGACAGACAAAGCACCGCCGATGCAAGTCCTTCGCCCTCAGCACCAAAGTCTATTTTCAACCCGCCAAGTCGATTAGAAATGTGGTTCGCGACCGACTACGCCACATCGATTGAGGACTATCTGGCGCCATGTGCGGATTCCATTGCTGGACATTCTGGAGCATCTATCTCGTACCCTGCTTCGTCGGATAACTTGATGCCAATGCAACTATCAGACTTTGCGGCTGCAGACGACGAGACCTTGCACTTGCTTACACCTCGGATGTTGGAGCTCTTGAACTGCGACGTCATAAACGGAGCGGATCAAGCATCCGCAGATGTTTCAGAAGTTGCTGGCAGAAAAGATGCCAATTCCGACTCTGTCGGATCCTTGGCTTTCTTTGAAAATTCTGTCATAGAGCCGGCGTTGCGTTCCGACGTTGAGCCCTTGATTCCTGACGAGGTGCCCAGCTCACGTAGAAGCGAGGCTGACTCGTGCTGCATGTTGCAAGTCATGGCTATCGTGAAGCAGGTCTTCTCCAATTCGTCCAACTCGTGTGAGAATTTAGACGCCATGGACATTTGCGGCACACCCGGAAGCAATGCGTTTGCTACCACCCAGCCAAGCATCCACGTCATCGGCGAGGTTTTGAAGTGCTCGTGCTCTCAGGATGGGTTTATCCTCGTCATGATGTCTCTCATTATTCTCAGGGCCCTTGGACAATACATCTCAGCAGCACGGCGGCCGCATCTCTTGTACGGCGGATCTGGACACAGTTTGGGGACTCACTCGCCCCTTAATATGAGCGTTCATGCTTTCCTCGGTAAAACAATTTCATGCCCTGCTGGCCCTGAAGAGCCAGACGAAGATGATCCTGCGTACGTGGTCGCGCAGAGGGTTCTAAGCGAACTGCCCTATGTTCAGCGTCTGGTAAACCAACTGTCAATAAGGCTACAAAACCAAGGCCTCAGTGCCAATATGGTGGGAGAGATTCACATTTCAGAACTTGGTCAACAACAAGACAAGAGCAACTCACTGCCACTTCCTCTGGGGCTGTTTGACCAGCTCAACACTGATATACGGAGAAACCTCAAGTTCCTAGCAGAGGAAGTTATCGCCACCCTGCGGCGGGAGTAGACCGCTCCTGGCAGTGGAGCTTTTACACTAAATAGGTGCCTATCTCCGAAGAGGAGAGCTTTTCATACTCGTGGTTCGGACTTAGGTGTATTATCTGTAAGGACTATATAGTAGCTTAGTTCTACTATAACTTCAATTAGAATGCTGAAAGAGTTACTCTGACTACTTATTTTTACACATGGCGGCTGCAAACTTGTATAGTAAGCTGGGGTTATTCTGGTCTGTACCGCACACTTACCATACCGTGGTTTACCAATAAAAGTAAATAGTACAATAAAATATAGCTACTGTTATTTAATAGAGAAAGTTTATTGTCCGTATACCCAGATATTTCCGTTAATAAAGTTGTGACTCGGGGTAAATGCTTGTTTTCCACGTGTTAATATTTAGTATACCCTTTTTCTATAATAATATTAAAGATAATACTAGTTTTATAAACTTAGGTATTAATTTAATAATATATCTAGTTATTATAAAGAAGTTTTATAAGTAACTTAGTATTACTATAAGATAAAGTTTATTTTTTAAGTATTTTTATAAAGCGCGTACTAGAAAAAGCTTTATATAAAGTAAGCTAGTATTATAGCTAAAATTATAAATAATCTAGAATAATATAAAGCTAATAATTTTACTTTTAATTTTAATAAAA